CCCCAAAACCCCAAAACCCCAAAACCCCATACCGATCAAATATTCAGTTTACAATAAATTATAAAATCAAAATATTAAATAATTTCCCAGAAAAATCAAACTCTTTTCTGAGTCTATATTTGCCTTTCTTTCTTTCAAACTTTTAGAAACAACTTTAAACATTTAAAACTTTGTTCCACTTGACAAAATAATGGAGAAAAAGAATAAGAATACTAAAAAACAATAACCATAACAGTAAATAAATCAGCAGTAATAAAAATCAGAAGAAGACATGGCAAAAATAAGCAGCACTGGAAGTGCACATGCTAATCATCTCATATATAATCACCAAAGTAACAATCATTATGGCATTGGAGGGAATGCTCAATCACCCATAAACATTTACAATAATGGTGGGAATCCAATTCAAATCAGTAACGGGGGCACTGAGAATATGATACATTCGTCGAGCCGAGATTCTTCACAGAATCAGTAATCCTCACAAAACATGACTGAAAAAACTCATGTTCAAAATTACTACGATAGTTTGTTGGCACTATTTGCAGATAACTTTTGTAAATGCCAGGATTAAAACTGCAAGTAGGAGCTTACTAATTAGCTCTAGTAATATATGAAGTTAGACTTCTCCAAAAAGATAGTGAATGACTTTATTAATATCATATCTGGTACCTCAAAGTCAGGCAAGCTGGTCAATATAATGGCGTTTTTGTTCAGATCTCTGTCAATTCACAATATAAGTAAAGATCTGATGGATGATCTAATTGGCTTATTTATGATGCTTTACTTGAAAAGCAATTAAACTCTCAAATTAGCCTTATTGACTGACTTAGAAAATGCTTTTATCCTAGTTAAGTAGAAAGAAACCGCGATTTTTGTAGACAAGAAATTTGTATATAAGATACTTTTCTATAATCTTTTTCAATTCAAGAAATGCTAAAATTCTTATGAAAAATCAGGTACCTAGCCTGGAGATAAATAGCCTCAGCAGTGTGAAAACTTGCAGATTGACAATGTTAAAAAGAGAATCTCCCAATAAAACAAGGAGAAAAAGAATAAGGGAAACGTAGAATACTAATAAATAATATCAGCTTAAGAATGCTCAGTGCATGGAGGAGTTGAAATTGAAACTATTATGATTGATTTATCTTAGTCACCTAGAAAATTCATTTCATACATTTGCATGCTAGCTTAATTATACTTTAAGATTCTCAAGATAGAAGAGATAGAGGATAAGTTTAAAGAGTAAAGAACTAAAATGATATGTAATATGCTATTTTCTATGATTGAACATTGTGATGTAAAGTATTATTACTATCCTATCCGTGCACTTGCAGAATTTTTCCTTCAAGGGGAATCAGAGAAGTCCCTAAGTAAAAGATTGAATTCAGAGAGTTTACTAAAGTACAAGTAATATAAACAACTTTTAGGCAGAGACTTGATACTATTTGAATTTAAAAAAATGAATAGAGGCAGTAGTATGAGTAGTAGTAACTAGGTGTAGGGATATGGTTATCTATATTCAGATACCTTGAGCGAAATCAGAAAAGTGTTATCCAGACTAGAACATACATAAAATTTAGATTGTTATGTCCTTTGTTTAAAAATAATCTCATAGATAATGAACAAATAGCCACTCAATGATTCAAGATAAGATTCTATAAGTTTATACATTGATTGCCTTGTAGCAATAAGTTAAAATTTAGTACAACTGAAATAGGATGATAAAGAATGCTATTATTCAGAGGTAAAAAAGCTAATTTCATATATCAAAATAAAGTAATAGGAATTTGAATAATAAATTGCTACTCTTTAGCCAGAAGAACTCCATGAGATAGAAATTTAAGAAGGCTATAGTGATGGGGAATAAAAGGGATATAAATAAACTCATTACTACAAAGATTTTTAACTTGGCAGATTTGTAGCTTATAGCAGTAAAGATAAGCATGGAAGTAGGTCGTAAACAGCATAAAGAAATCATAAATCTAAGTCAAAATTACATTAGAAATTTCCTAATATATCGGTACTGAAACATCTACTTACAGTCCAAGCAATTTAATAATACCCGAAACTAGCTCTTCTTGCTTATGATGTGCTGTCACCTTACATAGAAATATTTAATAACCATATAATCTCGTTTACATAGCTATGCATCGATAACAACATCATAATTAGTGAATTTAGTGAATCAATTTAAACCTTAGCAGATTAATTGCATAAAAAGATTAAACTTTGTAGTGGGGGCTCTGTAGGGAGAGAAATAGTGTTAAATTTTTTCCTAAGAGACTACCAGAGGAACATTTCAAAAAAAGTTTCAATGAATGGATAAAGTTTAAATGAAGTTGTTCCAGGAACTTAATTGAAAATCGAGGAGTATATTAAGCATCTAAGGAAACTTAGAGCGCATTTAAACAAGGAAGAAATAGTTTTTATTATTGACTTCCTATTACAAGTTTGCAAGCACTCCTAGATATTTGATGATATTGCCATAAGTATGGGTACTCATTTGTTCTCTGATATGTATCAAAAGACAAATCAAAGAATGGATACAATTATAAAATAAAATCAAGGCTAATCAGACCTACTCTACGTAAATTTTGAGATCAGATTCTAAATACTAATGAAAAGTTTTTAGCAAATGAAAATTCAATAGCTCAATGGGTAAAAAGTATCGTTACCAAAAGATTAACTGCTGAACTAAATATTTCAAACAGTTCTTATATAACTATCAACACAAAAACAGGTTTTGAAATAAAATCTTTAAAATGAGGGGATATTACTCTCTGGAAGTTATGAGTAATATCTTACTCATTTCTTTAAGGTACTTTTAAGAATTCTACAACAAAGTAGGTTAGATATATAACTAGATTAAGTAAAGCAAATTCTTGAGAATCTTATGTATGTCGATAAAATTGAAATAATAAGCAATAGCTGGCCATTGTATTTTGTCTCAGCTATGTTCTTAAATGTAGACCAAATGAATTTTGAGCACGATGGTAATTATTGTTTCATTTAATATAAGATTATTTATAGGCTAAGGAATTCACTTTTATGGAGTCATCAAGAACCTCTTCGACATTATTTGCAAATATTTACAGAATTTAAAAGATTAGTCTAATTAAATCTAGCAGCCTATGCTTCATTATTTTAGATTGAGAAACCTGATCAATACTTATACTTTAATCCTAAGGTACTCGCTCTGTTTCCCAACTCCTGATGATGAAAAAACAACCTCTTCTTAGTACAATCATACGCAATCCCCTAAAAGTCATAACTATACTACCTCTCAGCACACATCTCAGGGCACTCATTAATCCACTACACATGGACTTGCTTCGCAAATGACTCAAATGAATTTAGAAAATGACTAATTTGAAAAATGCTTTATCATAAAGAGATAAAAGAGATGCAACTTCTGTGGTGAATAACTGCCCTTACCCAAAAAATTTACATTTGATAGAAAATGTAAGAAATGTACAGTTAAAAATTCGACCTTTATATTCCCAGCTAGATTTATGTGCAACATGTGCCATGAATCAAGTGAACTTGATCTGTATAAAAGTACGTAAGACTAGATACCCCTTGAAAATTTAAAAGGAGCAAAAATTTTGTCAAGCAAATGCTTTATGGATCTGATTTAAGATATAATATCAAAAGGCTTCGGCTTGGCAATTCAGGACTTAAGAGACCCTTAAAATGAAAAATTTTACTTTAAAATGGACATTCCTTGCTTAAAAAAGGTGCAATAAAGAGATAACTTGTATTCTTGGATGATGATCCATCTCTTGAATCGACTGCTTAAAGTTTTGGAATTGATGATTGCTCATGATATCGACATCAATGGGGATCTTGAGTTTAAATTTGGAGAAATCGTAAAAAGAAAACACGAACTTGTAGACTCTTTCAAATTGACAAAAAGCAGGATAAATCAAAATGAAAAATCATTTAAATTACTGGAAAAAAGACTTAGAAGTAATAGATGATAATCAAGGTGTAAATGAGTAATTAAAAATTAACACTTTATTTTCTTGCTTAAGTTAAGATCATAGAATTATGCAAATCTACCTAGAATTAATTTATTAAATTTGATTAAATTGTTTTGACTATCTTGAAGGGGTTTTGGGGTTTTGGGGTTTTGGGG